GTGTCCCAGTGCCGAGGAAGGGGTCCCATGTACCCAGCCCCCCACCCTGCCCCAGAGGGGCTGTGTCCCAGTGCCGGGGAAGGGGTCCCGTGTACCCAGCCCCCAATCCTGCCCCAGAGGGGCTGTGTCCCAGTGCTGAGGAAGGGGTCCCATGTACCCAGCCCCCCACCCTGGCCCAGAGGGGCTGTGTCCCAGTGCCGGGGAAGGGGTCCCGTGTACCCAGCCCCCAATCCTGCCCCAGAGGGGCTGTGTCCCAGTGCCGAGGAAGGGGTCCCATGTACCCAGCCCCCCACCCTGCCCCAGAGGGGCTGTGTCCCAGTGCCGGGGAAGGGGTCCCGTGTACCCAGCCCCCAATCCTGCCCCAGAGGGGCTGTGTCCCAGTGCTGAGGAAGGGGTCCCATGTACCCAGCCCCCCACCCTGCCCCAGAGGGGCTGTGTCCCAGTGCTGGGGAAGGGGTCCCGTGTACCCAGCCCCCTGCCCTGTTCTCTGCATAGGGGGGGCAGGAGCTTCCCCCTCCACTGCCCCCTCCTTGTGCCATGCAAGGGGTAACTGGGGGGAGCCTGACCTTCAGGAGCGGCTGGAGAAGGCCCTGGAGCTCTTCCAGCACCAGCTGGACGAGTGTCGAGGCCAGGAGCTGGCAGAGGAAAAAGTCTGGTACCAGCAGAGGCGGCTGCCGGACGAGCTGGTGCAAGTGAGAGCCCGGCCCTGCGACGTGGCCCTGGGGAGGGCGCCATCTCGGCACCGGTCCCCTGGTAACCAGCCCCTGCCCCGCCCCAGAGGGGCTGCCACTGAGTCCCAGGTCCCTGTGTAACTAGCTGTTGGTTTCCCGTCCAGGATAGCGAGAGAGCTTGGGGAGATTACGCCGCCCTGGAGAACGAGCTGCTCACGCTGCGGGAAGCACTGGCTCAGATCCGACAGCTCGGGCACCCCCAGGTACGGCGCCCGGCTGGGATGCCTCCATTGTGCTGCTGTGTGAAGGGATTGATCTGTGGAACTCCCTGCCACATGATTCTCCTGGGGTGAATCACTCAAGTTCCCACGGAAGGGCAGGGAGGGGGGTGGAGCCAGAAGGGGACGCTGGGCTACAGGGACGGGGCAGGGGCCCAGCAGGGGGCGCTCTCCTCTCAGCTATAGGGATGGACTAGAAATAGGGAGCCTATGACCCGCGGAGTCTGTCCGATGCAGTGCACTTAGGAGCAGGCGAGATACCGGGGTAGATGGGCTGGTGTCCAATGCTAATTATTGCCCCGTGACCTTTCGCCTCTGACCTTTGCCCTCAGGAGCAGGGGGCCGCCCAGCAGGAGCTGTGGATGATTGATGACATCATTGCGGGGTTGGGAGCCAGCCCCACCCCGTACCCCACCCTGGACCTCAGGACATGCCAAGGTACTGGTCCCAAGTAAGGGCCCAGCAGGGGGGTGTGGCTGCAGGGGGTGTGGCGGGGGCCCAGCGGGGGGTGGGGCTGC